CTTCTGTCTTCAATATCCAGGGGATATCATTCTACACTGATGCCAGCCAGGTAATTTAAAGTCCCTTAGTTAATGCTTCTGTAAGAGAGGCAGGTATTTTGCTGCAGATTCACCCAGGGAAAGCAGTGAGGAGTATGCATGCATAAAATGATGAGAACTGAGTGTCCCGTGCAGTCCAGCTTGTCTTCCTGTTGACAAGTTCCCAAGTAGGTTTGTACTGATACTGACCCTGGTTTCAATCAGCTGGTCTCCTAATCTCTCTTAAAAAATGGCAGAACCCAGTTATTCTCTTCAGCAGAAATCTTCCCCTTCTCAAACAAGATCACTGTTATAAAACATTCTGTAATTTACTTGAATTTTTGTGGTGGTCATGGGGAGGGGTTTGGGTGAGCTTTTCTATTATTTGCATTCCTGGTTCTCAATACGCCACTGAGCAAAAGAGTATATTATCCCTGTAGCTTGCTTAAGGATGCTGGGGTAGAAAGTGGAGGCACAGAGAGATCTAGAAGACTGCCTTCTTAGCATACCTGTTTCTCTGTAAGATTAACAATGATTTTGGGGTACCTGGGTGGCTCAGACGGTTAAGTGTCTGCCTTCAGCTCAGGTCATGATCCCAAGGCCCTGGGATCAAGTGCTGCATCAGGTTCCATGCTCATAGGGAGTCTGCTTGTCCCTGTCCCTCTACCCCTCCCCCCCATGCTCTCTCTCAAATAAATAAAATCTTTTTAAAAATGATTTTATATAATAATAATAAATTAATAATAATAATAAATTAAAAGACATCCTTCAGCTCACTCCAGAATCAACAAATGTTGACTTCTACTATACAAAGTTTAGGTCTTCCCTTGATAGGATGAGCACAGGGTGTTATACTATATGTTGGCAAATTGAATTTAAATAAAATATTTTTTAAAAAACACAAAGGTCAGGTCTTTTTTATAAATTAACAAAATAGGGGTGCCTGGGTGGCTCAGTTGGTTGAGCATCTGACTCTTGATCTCAGCTCAGGTCTTGATCTCATGGCTGTGAGTTCAAGCCCTATGTGGGGCTCCACTCTGAGCGTGGGGCCTACTTTAAAAAATGCATACAGAAATCACCATTTTTGTATCCTCTGCTTTCGTTCTTCCCTTCCTAAAACGACTTCCTCTCAAATGTGATGGTATCCCCTATACATGGCTTTATAATGCACATATCTTCATAAACATACATAGGATAAAAGGCATTAACTATAATACCTACCAGTTAGGGAATGGAGGAATAAATCATGACATAACAATACAGTGGATTACTCTCTGGTAATTGAAATTAGTAAAATGGGACTAGGGATGCCTGGGTGGCTCAGTGGTTGAGTGCCTGCCTTCAGCTCAGGCTGTGATCCTGGAGTCCCTGGATCAAGTCCCATATTAGGCTCCCTGCATGGAACCTACTTCTCCCTCTGCCTGTGTTGCTGCCTTTCTCTCTCTCGAATAAATATTTTTAAATAAATAAATATAAATAAATAAATAAATAAATAAATAAATAAATAAATAAATAAATAAAATGGGACTAAATATATCATAATAAAGAAAAGATAAATTATATACCAATTTCAAATATAAATATATTTCAAATATAAATATCCTATATAGTTGTTTATATAAGGTTTTCAAAGTTGAAAATAATGTAGTTGTTTATGTTATTATATTAACAATAATACTAATTTTAGTAAAAATTTCTAGGGAATAATGTGTATGAAGTTCATGTAGTGATTCCCCCAGGGAAAGAAAAGAATCAAGATTGTTCAAATACATAATGTGTATACTTGGATCATTTATTGCAATAAAAACACTAGAATGAGAGACACCTAGCTGGCTCAGTAGAACATGAGACTTGATCTCAAGGTCATGAGTTCAGGCCTCACCTGGGGTGTAGAGGGTACTTAAATAAAACTTAAAAAAATATTTTTAAAAAACCACTTAAAATGAAGATGGTGATGTGTGTGAATTTTATGCTATTGATTGGTGGGTACCACCCTTCATTTATCTCTATGGGTTTTTGTTTTTGTTTGAATAATCCAGAATAAAAATAAAAACCTGTAAATTTTATTATGGATTATGCCTTGTTAATGACTCAAAATATAATTAAAATTTTCTAATAATGTATACTTTATGGAATTCAAAAATATTTCCCATATACGCTTCATTATTTATACTAATTTTTTATCGAATACATTTTATTATGTAATTTATTTTAATTGCTATATTTTTAAAAAGATTTTATTCATGAGAGAGAGAGAGAGAGAGCACACACTTGTGCACAAACAGGGATAGGACCAAAGGGAGAGGGAGAAGCAGGCTCCCCGAGGAGAAGGGAGCCTGACACTGGGCTCCATCCCAGGACCCTAGGATCATGACCTGAGCTGAAGGGAGATGCTTCACCAACTGAGCCGCCCAGGTGATCCTAATTGTTATATTTTTCATTATATACCCATTTATTTTCTTTTTAATTTTTATTTATGTATTTGAAAGAGAGAGAGCACACGTGTGAGAAAGAGCATAAGAGGGATGGGGGCAAAGGCAGAGGAAGAAGCAGACTCCCCACTGAGCAGGGAGCCCCAGTTGCAGGGCTTGATCCTAGGACTCTGAGATCATGACCTGAGCAGAAGTCAGACATTTAGCCACTGAGCCACCCAAGCACCCCCATCATATGTCCATTTCATTTTTTCTTTTTTTAACTTTAAACTTTATTTTATTGAAATTCAATTAACATATAGTATGTTATTCCTTTTAGAGGTAGAGTTCAGTGATTCATCAGTTGCATATAAAACCCAATGTTCACTATGTCACATGCTCCCCTTAAGGCCCATCACCTACTTACCCCATCCTCCCACTGTGTCCATTTCAAATGAATTTTTTAAAGATTTCATTTATACATTCATGAGAGACACACACACACACACACACAGAGAGAGAAAGAGACAGAGACACAGGCAGAGGGAGAAGCAGGCTCCATGCAGGGAACCCGACACGGGACTCAATTCGGGGACTCCAGGATCAGGGCCTGAGCCCAACGCATCCGCTCAACCACTGAGCTACTCAGGTGCCCCTCAAATGAATATTGATATCATTGATGAATCCTTCACTCTTTTTCTACATGATAAAAGTTCCCAGCTCATAATTTTTTTCCCGGAAATTTGCAGCTATCCTGCTGGGGATATTCTGTCTTTCTATGGACTTTCCTCAACTTACCCCACCCCACTGCTTCCTTGTGAGGAGTGAAATGTATAAAGTGTTGTTCTTCACAGCAGGAACACACACACACACACACTCATGGAAATGTCAGTATGAGGGTCTTATGTACTAAGTACTGTACCAGATGCTTTTCCCCTATTTGTTTCCCATCACTGCAAAAAAACATGAGGTTTTATGATAGTCCCCATTATACAAATGAGGACACCAGGCTTTTCATATAAGTGAATAATTCCACCCCTCCCCCCTCACAAATCAAGTACTGGTCTGGATTAAATTCAATATTTAAGCCTAAGTAATATGCCAAATGATTAAGGCTGTCATGGCCACTTCTGTCTCATTTAGGCAGGAGAGGACCACTGCTTTACAGAAGTACTTCTGTTAAGGATGCCTGATTATCTTATAAGTATCATATAAGTCCATCTTATAATTCTCCGTCTTCCAAGGACCAAATATTGTTGCTATTTTCACCTATTTTTTAAAAGACTATGTTTCTTTTTTTCCTCTTATTTACCTTTTTTTTTAATGATATTCCTGCTACCTATCCCCTAAGGAAGATGTCTCCTTAGGATAAGATAGAGAATGTCATTGACATTTGCCCAGATTCTCTTAAAATTAATTGCTAATGCTGATGAGTACTGTTTCTCTGGGGGATTCTTATGAGCTTCAAGTTTATACACAACATTTTCTAATCTTTGCTCAGGTACAGAGTATATGCTTGGAGATGTCAAGCATCTGCTACACAGAACTTCATGGGTAGGGGTGGACAAATACTGTAGACAAGGGAAAAGATTTGGGGCATTGTTCAAGGTGAATACATTAAGATTTTAAAGGAACTGTTGTTATAGGGATGCTTGGGTGGCTCAGTGGTTGAGCGTCTGCCTTTAGCTCAGATCATGATCCCGGGTCTGGAGTCTGAGTCCCACATCAGGCTCCCTGCATGGAGCCTGCTTCTTCCTCTGTCTGTGTCTCTGCCTCTCTCTCCGTGTCTCTCATGAATAAATAAATAAAATCTTTTTTAAAAAAATAAAGGAACTGTTATGAAATCTGAGTGTTGGTTTAGGAATGCTAATTCTGTATAGCAATGATTGGTCTAGAAAGTCAACTCACCAGTCAAACCACTTGAGTTCACACCTTGTCCTTTCCAGGCACTATGTTCTCCACCCCACCTCAATTTCCCAATAGATAAATGGAGTAACAGTATGATCCAACTCATCTGTAATTTGACAAGTACATCAGCTGATTCTGAGGCACACGAAGGGTTGGGCACCATGCTCTACAACAGAAATTGGATAACTTCATTCTCATCTTTCTGTTTGAGACAAGCAATATTTCTGAAGGAAATGCCATGGTTTATTCTTTGTCTCGTCTCAGTACTCGGCACAATGTGTGAAAAAGAGCTGGTGATCAATACAAATCTGAGCCACAAATCTGAGTGGAGAAAAGAAAAGTAAGATATGATGATGGTGGAGGAAGAAATTAGCAGAGGGAAAGATTTGAATACTCTCTTTGCTCCACCATATACATAAAATTTCATTTCTTTTTACTTAAGCTCTGGCTCTCAAACTTCAGCATTATCAGATTTATCTGGAGGGTTTGTTAAAATTTAAGATTACTGGTCATTACGTCAGAGTTTATCAGCAGTGTACCTGGAGCAGCACCAAGAATTTGCATTTCTAAATAGTTTCCAGGTGATGCTGCTGTTGCTCCTCCAAGGACCATTCATTTTATTTTATTTTTATCTCGTTTTTCCCCCTCAGATTCATCAACAACATGGAACCCAGAAATCACACAGATGTTTCAGAATTTCTTCTTCTGGGATTGACAGATGATCCAGAACTGCAGCCTTTCCTATTCTGCCTGTTTCTGTCCATGTACCTGGTCACTATCCTGGGAAATCTGCTCATCATCTTGGTCATCAGTTCTGACTCTCACCTCCACACCCCCATGTACTTCTTCCTCTCCAATCTGTCTTTTACTGACATCTGTTTAAGCACAACCACCATCCCAAAGATGCTGGTGAACATCCAAGCACAGGATCAGAGCATCACTTACACAGGCTGCCTTACCCAGGTTGGATTTGTCCTGGCTTTTGGTGGTTTTGAAAATTTTCTCCTTGCAGCAATGGCTTATGACCGCTATGTGGCCATTTGTCACCCCTTGAGATACACTGTTATCATGAACCCCCAACTCTGTGTTCTGCTGATTCTGCTCTCACTGTTCTTTAGCTTTGTGGTTGCCCTGCTCCACAGTCTAATGGTGCTACGACTCTCCTTCTGCAAGGACTTGGAAATTCCTCATTTCTTCTGTGAACTTGCTCAGGTCATCAAGCTCGCCTGTTCTGACACCCTCGTCAATAACATACTGATTTATTTTGTGGCTAGCCTATTTGGTGGTATTCCTCTTTCTGGGATCATTTTCTCTTATACTCAAATCGTTTCCTCTGTTTTGAGAATGCCATCAGCAGGGGGAAAGCTCAAAGCTTTTTCCACCTGTGGGTCTCACCTGTCAGTTGTGTCCTTGTTCTATGGGACAGTTGTTGGAGTGTACATTAGTTCTGTAGTTAGTGACTCTTCCAAGAAGACTGCAGTGGCTTCAGTGATGTATGTTGTGGTTCCTCAAATGATGAACCCCTTTATCTATAGCCTACGGAACAGGGACATGAAAGGAGCCTTGAGAAAGCTCATCAGTGGGATGCCTTCTTTGCTGTGATTATGCCATCTACTTTGGACTTGGGTTTCTAGAAAGAGGCAAAGTGATAGGAATCCTGGATGTGCCATAATGCTTAATTTTTCCATCACTGAATACCTATAAACCAGCCAGGCAACAGAATGCCCAAGTTAATTTTAACTTGGGGTTGAAATGTACTTTTATTTTTTTGTCTGGTCTTATGATGTTTGACACATGATTTCAATTCTCTAAATTCAGTTTCTTTGCTCAGGTTCTATACAGAAGCAGAGCTTGAGGCAAGTGTTCTTTTTATAGTGATTTTTTTGGAGGGGATCACTCTCAGAAGGAATATTGGAGAAAGTATGTAGGATAGGGGAAGTATTGAAACAAGACTGTGGTCATAGCTAGAGACTAGCTTCCACCTGATTTCAGGGTAGGGCCATGCCAGTAACACTCTGGAGTTAGGCCTGTAATGGAGAAGGGGAGTTTACCTTTTATATACTTATTTAGTAATTAATTTGTTCACTGTAAACTCTATCCTGCTGAGGACTTTAGCATCTACTTATCTCATTCTATTATCTACAAAATTTGTATAATTAAGTTATCTCAGTGGTTTGAGACGATTGTGAAATATTTGAACTTTCCCAGTTGAGGAAACTTCCAGTTACAGTAAGAAAAAAATCCCTAGCTCTAATATTGCTAACAATAAAGAGAGTTATCGTTCATTACAAGCACTTAGAGGCAGGGAATATATACAAACAGGTAGATTCATTCAGTCCTTCATGGATTGTATGGGCCTATGGCTGGCTTTCCTCAGGGCCATCAGGTAGTGGCACCAGATGGAGATGTCATACTTGAACATGATTCCCAGAAACAGAACTCTGACTGTCCTTCCTTGAGTCAGATGATTATAGAATTTTCCACAGAGTCAGTTACAAAAGTCAACTGGAACCCCAGCTATAAATGGTTGTATGGTGGTCCTCAAAAGAATTTGTCCACATTCTAGTCCCATAACTTATTAATATTTTATGATAGAAGGATGAATTGTACTTACTTGGAGTCTTTGTAGAAGGTGAGCTTATCCACCCTATTATCTGGGTAGCTTCTAAATATAATCATATGTATCCTTATAAGAGACAGAAGTGGAAATGACCCCCAAAATGTAAAGATAATGTAACCATGGTGACATAAATTGGATTTATGCAGTCAGTATTTAATTTTCAGTATTTGGTCACTTTTTTCCAGATTTATTGAGATATAGTTGTATATAACATTCTGTAAGATTCAGGCGTACAATGTGCTGATTTGATGCATTTATGTATTGCGAAATGATTATCACCATTGCATGGATAAAACTTCCATCCCATTACTTAATTGCCATTTCTTCTGTGGTGAATATTTAAAACTCTACTCTCTTATCAATATTTAAGTATATAATATAGTACTATTAGCTGTAATTATCATGATCTATATTAGATCCCCCAAATTTTTTAATCTTATAACAGCAAGTTTATACCCTTTGACCAAAATCTCTCCATTTTCCCCACTGCCCAGCCTCTGGTAGCCACCATTCTAGTCTCTGTTTCTGTGAATTTAACTTTTTCAGATTTTCCACACATAAGTGATATTATACAGTATTTGTCTTTCTCTGACTTATTTTACTCAGTATAATGACCTCAAGATCCATCCAAGTTGTCACAAAAGGCAGGATTTACCACTTTTTCAAGGCTAAATAATACTGTGTTGTATATATACCACGTCTTTATCCATTCATCTGTTGACACTTAGGTTGTTTTCCTAACTTGGCTATTGTGAGTAGCGCTGCAATGAACATGGGAATGCAGATATCTCCATAAGATCCCGATTTTAATTCCTTTAGCTATGTATCAAGAAGTGGAATTGCTAGATCATATGTAGCTCTATTTTTAATTTTTTAAGGAACCCCTATACTGTTTTCCACAGGAGTTGTACCAATTTACATCCCCACTAACAGTGCACAAGGGTTCCTTTTATTCCACACCCTTGCTAACACATTATCTTTTCCCTTTTTGATGTGACCCATTCTAACAAGTGCGAGGTGACATTCTGGTTTTGATTTGCATTTTCCTGATAAGTGATGCCAAGCACTGTTTCATGTGTCTGTTAACTACCCATATATCTTCTCTGGAAAAATGTCCATTCAGTTCCTCTGTTCACTCTTTAATTGGGTTGTTTAGTTTTTGGCTAAGGAATTGTATGATTTCTTTATATGTTTGGGATATTAACCCCTTATCACATGTACGATTTGTAAATATTTTCTCACATTCAGTAGGTTGTATTTTCATTTTGTTGATGCTTTACTCCTTGTGAAAGCTTTTTTTTTATTTAAATTCAATTAGCCAACATATGGCACATAATTAGTCTCAGATGTAGTGCAAAGCCTTTAATTTGATGTAGTCTCATTTGTTGATTTTAGTCTTTGTTCTGGTGTCTATCCAAAAAACTGTTGCCAAGACCAATGTCAAAGTGTTTTTCCCTAAATTTTCATCCGAGAAGTTTTATGATTTCATGTCTTTTGTTTAAGCCTTTAGTGTATTTTGAGTTAATTTTTGTAAGTAGTATAAGGTACAGGTCTACTTGCATTTCACTGCATGTGTTTATCCATTTTTCTTGACACCATTATTGAAGAGATTGTCCTTACCCATTGAGTATGGATCTCCTTTGTCAAACACTAGTTGGCCATATACACTGAAGTTTATTTCTGGCATCTTGATTATGTTTCATTGGTCCCAGTGTCTATTTTTATGACAGTATCATACTATTTTGATTACTCTAGCTTTGCATCATAGTCTAAAGCAAGGAAGTGTGATACCTCCAACTTTGTTCTTTTACTCAGGACTGCTTTGGCTCTTTGGGGTCTTTTGAGACTCCATACAAATTTGAGGATTGCTTTTTCTATATTGTGAATATCACAAACCCAGTCTCCAAGTGAATAGGTAACTCGGATTGAGATAGTGGGCATTTTCTGAAACCTTCAGTTGTTCCAAATCCATATTTATGGTTGGGTCCAGGCAGTGTCCATAACTTTTGTGTTCACACACATTGCTCGAAAACTAAAGCTCCATTTTTGTCTTTGACTTCAAGCACTAACCTCTTCTAGGACATTTAACTTCCAGGATGCTCATTACCTGGAGAGAGTTAACTTCTTCCTTATGGGGGTGATTCCATAGAGCCTCTAGACTTCAGTGCCCTCACCCATTATGTGTGAGTTATTTTTATAGCACATGGAAAAATTTGTCTTGTTTTATGAGACCACCTATGAATTTATATATGTACTTATTATTTAATGTGTTGAAATGAAAGGATGACATTCAAATGCCATCTTGTCTCATGTCGGTTTCAAATACTACCATAAAATTCCACTAATTAAAAGATGAAGTCCTAGGAGCATCTGGGTGGCTCATTAGTCAAGCGTCTGCCTTTGGCTCAGGTCATGATCCCAGGGTCCTGTGATTGAGCCTCACATCAGGCTCCCCCTGAGTGAGGAGTCTGCTTCTCCTCTTCCTCTGCTCCTCCTCCTCCTCTCACTTGTGCACTCTCTGTCTCAAATAAATAAATAAAATCTTTTAAAATGAAGTTATACATAAAGAGTTAACGTGTGGCAAAAATAAATTGATAAGTGTGTAAATATAATAAATTCAGTAAATAATGAAAATTTGTAATTAAGTATTAACACAGAGCACCATCTTTACCTTCTAAATTATGGCTGCAATCGCACTCCTTCTACTGAGAGTATGGATGAACCAGCACACTGTTGCCTTGTCCATGACATTGTAATTTCTCATTAATCTATTTTTTAAAAGTGTCATAATTTCAATGCATGACCCATTAATGTGAAGAAATATGTACACTGAACCCATTGTGATAAAATTGGAAATGGTGTTTATGAAATTCTAAAGTCTTGTCTATATTGATCACAGTCAGAATTGTTTAGAAATTACAGATTAAAATCTGCAGTATTAACTCTACAGAATGAAAATTGATGTCCAGGAAACACATAAATGACTCTCAGAAAAAACTAGTTGTTTGCATTTTTACATAGCTTAGCTGTATTTATAAATATATATTTTTAAACTCACATATATAAACTGTGTTTTCACACTTAAAGTTAGAATCTGGTTTCCTGATATCACTAATTAGATAGAGATGCTGTTGCTTATATCTAAAACCTGAAGAGTGGAATCCAAAGAGAAAGATGGTGTGTCCACATGTGTTAGGTATGTGAAATGGAGGTGAGCATGAGCAGGTGGGGAGAACCATGTGGCATGTGTGTGGCCTCTGAGGGTCAGAGATCAACCATCCTGAATTCCTCTCTTCTATAGCTTTGGTCTTTAGGGATTTACACTGTCCTGGGATCCAAATAATAATAAAATGTTTGTCTAATGAGGAGCTTTGGATACTGAACCCTCAAGGATGTAGAAATTGCAAATAATCTGTCTATGACCACCTAACTTAACAGCTCTGCCCAGTGTGGGCCACCTCCCAGTGATGATCCTACTTGCCTAGAAACGTGGGGCTTCACTCAGTCCCTCTGCCTCTCTCAGAGACAGACCTTCTGTCTCAATCATTCAATATCCGGGGATGATGTCAGTATCATCCTGCAATGATGCCAACCAGGTAACAGAAAGTCCCTTAGACAATGCTTTGGACAGAGGGAAGATGTTTACTGGAGCTGCTTCCATGCATAGTCATGAGATGGACCTATGCCTAAGACAATCAGTACTAAGACCTCAATGGGACTCTTGCCTTAATGTCATCATCTTGACGTTACTTTGTACCTCCACAATGCCGATGCAGCTCTGATTGTGCTAGTTTTCTGTTCTGTCTAATGGCAGGAACCACTTTGCTCTTGATCTTAAAATCTTCCTCTTCACAAACATGATGACTATTATAAAATTCTCTGACATTTACTTGCATCCTTTGGTGATGGAAGGGAGAGATACTAGTCAGCTTCATTTTAACCCCCCATACACTGTATAGAAGAACTTTGGTATTATCTATAT